GGGATACACTGGGGACTCAAACCCAGGCCTCTGGTGTCACTCAACACACTATTCACAGGGAAGGGCAGTGACATCACCGCGCTGGCAAGCCAGCTCGCACAACCTGTAATGTCGGCCATATGCGTTACAATATATTTAGATCCTTAAATTAATATTGTTATTAATTTCTTTAGCCTCACAACATTGTCCAATAATACTCTTCTTGTGTCTAATTTTTAGTTAAGCAGGATTTGAGCTACAGACCATAAAAAAACAGGATTCACTTTTTTCTCTCTTTCTCACCTGCTACGATTTGGGTGTTAAAAAAACGTGTTTACAAAGAACGTGGAATACAGTAATACTACCAGCTATATAAATACATATATTTAGATCCTTAAATTAATATAGTTATTAATGTCTTTAGATATGCGATTCCATATTATATTCCCTATTTGAATCAAATTCTAAAAGTATGCTTTTGTTTACTCCGAAAAGGAGCGTATTCACAGAAAGGTTAAAACATTATAATGTTTTACAAAGTATTATATACTTTGTAAGCATGGAGCATGGAGCATGGAGACGTTTTTACATGCTCCTTCTGACTATATTAAATTTATACTCAATATAGTCAGAAGGAGCATGTAAAAATATTTCCAAAATAACCACATGTAAGACTTTAATGCTTAAAATGTTTAGGAAGAAAGTGGAATACTGATGTATATTTTTTCTTTAAACAGGATTACTTTTTTTAAAGAGAATTACTTTGTTTCTTACATAGCCGAATATAAAAAAATAGTCCACTATTAAAGCTTGTTGTTGGCTTTGATAGTCAGATTTAACGTATGTTTGAACACAGTCTTGCAAATTTATGTTTTTACAAGATATGGAAGTGCAACAATTTATCACAGTGGGAATTTTAATACTAATTATTGATTACTAATAGTTTATGCTAACACCTAACTTAGATATATACTTATATATATATTATTGAACTGAAATACAATTGACACTGGGTTTTAAAACCATGCAATGTCTTTTTGAGGGACACACGTTATTGTTTCCTATTTTTGACTTTCTTTCAAATTAAAAGAATCAGTGCCCCATCATGCCAAACAATATTATGTTACATTTTTGAGAGACTTCAGAAGGCTTCAACTTGTCCCTGTCACCATACTGGGGCATTAGAACCCACATAGATCATTGGCCTCACTAACACCTCTTCCAGCAGCAACCTTAGTTTTTCCTAGGAGGTCTCCCATCGAGGTACTGACCAGGCTCACACCTGCTTAGTCTCAGTGGGTTGCCAGTTGTGAGTTGCAGGGTGATATGGCTGCAAGCTATAAACAGTTTTATATAAAAAATAAAATCATTTAAAGGGAAAATCATGCATTAAATAAGTATTAGTAGTGTTTGTCAAACCTGTTTCTGATAATCAGGAATCTCAGGAACAGATAAATGCCTTTAATTTATCTGATATCCTTTGCAGCATTTCTCACTCCCAATTCTCTGTCCAGTTGAAGTTAATACTCTTTATTGAAGTTTTCTGTAACATGGCTCTCATCTTTAAATATACAGAATGAAAATAGTGTAAGCTGTTTTATTGAATGGTCCTGGGAGGAAGAGCCTAAGGATGTTTAATTGTTCCTGACCTACTGTACTGCTTTAGGGTCAGCTCCTGTGTTGTGTTACCTCTGCAGGTAATCATTAACAGTATAGTTAAACATTCACTCAAGCCTAACTAGCACCTATTATTTACATATTTAAATAGAATCCCACCATATTGAATGCATTGACAAGGAGGTACAGAAAAAAACTCAAACACAGCAGGTAGAAGCCCCTCAATATCTGGTACACAGTAGGTTAGCATTGTGCCAGGCCTAACATAGACAAAATTCTTTGTCTATGACGAAGAACCTTTATTGACACAGGCTTTCTGGGTATATAAAAATGTATATATGATAATTACTATTAATGTGTGTAGATTTGCTATTTTTTGAGTAAGACCACACGAAGGTGTACACAGTACCTCATCATTCTGTTTAAAAAGCCACATAATGATAATGTAGCTGTTTACAGCCCTCTCTCTGTATTCCCTGTATTGAGTCTTGGAGAAGTTCTGAGGTTACATTTTAGTGAAGTGGCTACATAATAAGACCTTGATGTAACTTTATGCAACACAGGTCATGGGGACAAATAGCAAAAATGCTAAAGAGAGAGTAACCGTATGATAAAGGTTCATGTTGTCCCTGGAGATCTCGGAAGAGTATACAAGACAAGTTGATGCAGTGTTACTAAAGCTCTTAAGGACCTCTCTTTTTTTTTATAAGTTTTGATATTTGCATTTCTCTGTTGCTAAAATCTACTGATTTTTTTGCAAACCTAGTTCAGCAGTGAGGAGCTCTAAAATCTAAGATGACAGGGTGGAATGTTGGATTTCCTTATTTGTAGGTCTACTACAGTATAGGTCCATCTTATGAAAGAAAATATCTTTGATATCTAGAGAATTTATCATTTTTATTCTCAAAGTGCCCCAGGGATGGCTAAAACACAGCAGGTGGGCTTCACAGCAATAAAGGTTGTAGTTTGTGCTTGACACAGAGAGGAATTTATCTGACTGTGTTTGTACAGGTGGTGGTGCCTAAGACTGGGAAACACCTTCAGGTAAAAAAAGAGATATCTGTGGCTACAGCACTGACACAGGACAAAGGAGAAAAGGACATGTTATATATTCTGATTATACTTATTTTTATATATTATAAATAGTATAATTATTAATTATAGATTATATATTATTGTACATAATAAAACATCTTTCATTATGTTATTGTCTCTATCTAAATGCCTAAATGTATTGTAACAAATGCAAGTTGAATTTGTTACAATATTTTAAGCATGTTACTTTAGAAATTGCACAATAAATCTACAAATTATTGTAGGACAGAATTCCTTACACTCAGTGCACATTCTCTTTTTACTAACTGAAAATGGTCCTTTGTGAGTAAACAGTACAAAAGACTGTTACATGCATTATGAAAATGTGGAAATGGAATTATTGGAATGTTGGATGTTTGGGAGTGTGTCTTGCAGGTTTCTTATCATTGAAAGATTGGTATTCTATGTACTTTTAAAGGCTTTAGTTAAGTTTCTGTAAATATGCTATAAATAATGCATTGGCCCTGTATTATAGACACACTTCACAAGACCCTCAAATGAAAAATATTAAAAATATAACATAATTTAGTAATGGTTAGCATAATGCCAGGGAAAAACTTTAAAAGGCATAACTAGATTAAAGGGTAACTGGCTTACTGGGACTTTACTGGTTCTTAACCCACTTATGACTAGAATGACTTAAGTATTTTGACAATGTAATTTCATGTAACTCCATCACCAATCCAGACTCAGACAGCCTTTCTAGCCCTACCCGTCTCAGCCTCAGCCTATCAGATGGTGAGGATCAGTTGGACCGCCTCCAGCAGGTGGAGCTAGCCCGGACCATTCCCATGTCTCAGTGGAAGGCGGGGACAGTGCAGGCGTGGCTGGAGGTCATCATGGCGATGCCTATGTATATGAAAGCCTGTGCTGAGAACATCAAGAGTGGGAAGGTAAGGCCACACTCACTGACATTATTAGGATTCAGAGTTCAGACGTGTCTGAGACAGGGGCTTCCACCCAACATTGCCATGCTGGCAGAGCCGGCATTGAACTTCAGTCTTCGTTCAGGAAAACAAGTAACCTTTCCATGTCACTTCAGGGTGTTCCTGTATGAAAAACGTCAAGCCAAAGAGTAGAAAAAATGGCAAGCCAGAGAGTCTCAGAGTGTCTTGAATGAGGCATAATTTTCATAATTTTCAATCAAAGAAGCTATCCCATTGGTATCCTTGCAACAGACATCACTAAAGTGATGGATAGCATTTAACTCTTTTGCCTTTGAGTTAAATATTTTCCCACTTTATCATGTATGAATTGAGGGAGAAGGGGTTTCACTGTGTCCATTGCCTATTTATTGAGTTGCACTAGAATAAAAGTGGTTAGACTATGCACAGGGCAGTGTTTTTTTGTTTCTACTGATCCAGGACAGGTGGGGGGTATCGCATATCTACACCTCTACCTATCACTTCTCTCAGTCAGTCTACCACAAGAATTTGAGTTTTTAAAGGGGAACTGCAATGCTATTTTTATATTTCAGGGTTAGAAAGAATTGACATTGATGAGTGCATTTCAAACCACAATAAAAGTAAATGTACATAGTAATATTTAAAACTTCCAATTTACATCACAAAGTAGACAAAATTTCCAGGTATACACTGCAATTCAGAATGAGACAACAAAACTTCCAGTGAGGTTAAGTGGCTTTATTACATTTTAAACAAGCAGGCTTGAGAATACATCCCTTTTAATACAACAGAAATACTTCTGTCATGCCCTATGCAGCCAGAGGTCACTCCCACTCTGTCCGGTCCCTAGTTTCCTCTGCTTTGCTGTCCTTCCAGTGTCTCTCTCTCTGGGGCTATATATTTCCGGGTCACTCATTCACCTTGGCTCAGCATTGACGTTTGGATGTCCTGAGACCTGCCTAACACGAGGTTGCCCCATGTCCGCTGCCTGAGGGCATTGGTTTCTATACGACTCCTGAACTGCTGAGCCCGGGCTAACCCCCGTTTCGCCGCTACGCATAGGGTCTTTTTCTGTTCTCCTGCCATTCCACGGTTCGGCCCTTCCGACATCCCTGACAACTTCCAGGTGGTTTTGCCAACAAATTAACACTTACTTGTTCATTAGTCATTATAGTGACTAGTGAGCAGGAAGGGCTACTTCATGTCTTAATTTGTCGGAACCCTTGCTCTTGCCTTTGGCGAGACCAGGGGTTTGTGACAACATAACAACTTACAATACTTTCACCAAGTTCACGATTTTGTGCTTAATTCAGAATTTCTCCAATTTTTCTATACTGTCAATCAATTTATTTTGTCACTAAAATTTAATAACCAATCTGAGAATTTGGGACTGCAGTTCTCCTTTAAATGGCTGTGACAAACAGTTGCACTGTCATAGTTTTTAATATCTTCACAATGAAAGGCTTTGCCTACAGATTGTGTCAGGAAAAACAGTAGTTGTAGTTGCACAACATGCTGCAGCCTCTTAGGCTCTTTGTGCTTAGTAGGGGCAGGAAGCCCTTCCCTGCTAATGGATATGATCAGAGCAGACCTCTTCCCCTCACAGGTCCTGTTAAGCCTGACTGATGAGGACCTGGAGCTGGGACTAGGGGTGAGCACCTCCATGCACCGCCGGAAGCTCAGGCTGGCCATCGAGGACTACCGAGATGCAGAAACAGGGCGAGGGTGCGTTCCTCTCTGCTCCTGTTCTCACTGAAACCACCACACATCCAGCCACATAAACAGAGTTGCAAAGCTTGTTGCATGTGCTGGATCAAACCAGATTATTTTCAGGTAGAAAGTGGTACATTTTCTAACACTACTAGAGCCATTTATTAATGAAACTTTAATATTGATGTAACCACAGTATTTTTTACTTTAGCTTTACCTTTATCCTGCATTAAAACATTAATAATAATTAATAATTAAATAATAATAACTCCACTCAAAGCGCTTTACAGGTAATGGGGACTCCCCTCCACTACCACCAATGTGCAGCATCCATCTGGATGATGCGATGGCAGCCATAGTGCACTAGAACGCTCACCACTCATCAGCTATCAGTGGGGAGGAGAGCAGAGTAATGAAGCCAATTCATAGATGGGGATTATTAGGAGGCCATGATTGGTAAGGACCAATGGGAAACTTGGCCAGGACACCGGCGTTACACCCCTACTCTTTTCGAGAAACACCTTTGGATTTTTAATGACCACAGAGAGTCAAGTCAGGACCTCGGTTTTACATCTCATCTCAAGGACGGTGCCTACAGTATGTTATCTTTTGAGACCAGATATCCTGAGACGGATTTAGTAAAATCCAAGACTCTTAGAACAGAGGAAAGTTCTGGCACTCGGACACACTGGCCGTTCCGTGGTTGTCCGGACTGAGTCTCAGGATGGTCAGGAGGCGCGCTGCGAGAATGTCCTGCCCTTGGGAGCCGTCCTGGCCTGGAATTCTCCTTTTTTTCCTACTGGAATAGTCCTAATAGTTCTCGGAGCTCTGTGTTGCCTGTTTTTACCTGGAGGAACTTCAGCTTGTTCATTGGCTGAAAGTTTAATGGGCATCAGAGTCTCACGTGGGTCACTCTGCCCTACCAGTCCCTGATTGGTTGATCAAGGTGAGATATGAGTCACTTACTCCTGACACCTAGGAATGCAGTCCAGATGTCCATCTGGCACTCCCTAGACAGATAGGTGCCAACTCATGACCATTGATCATGATAGCCAGGCTTAGCTAAGTGCATCCCCATTTGGGAGCTGTCCCTTATCAAAAGAAAACATCTTTAAATCAGCCTGCATGAATAGTTTCTCTGTGGCTGCACCACAGAGATGAACAGAGAGATGGGGCCTCATTTGGGAAAGCACCGCAGCACTTAATTCTGTCTTATTAACAAGCATTGCCGCTACACTTGATATATGAGGGAAGCCCTTTAACCAGCGGTCTCATAAGGCTGTCGAGAAAGGCCAAGATGTAAGTAGGAGGACAGTTGCATGCTGATACGATGGGGCATCCAGGAATGTTCGGTTTGTGGATTTTGGGGAGGAGGTAAAATTGGGATCCCTTTGGATATTCAACGATGAGACGAAGGGAGATGTTGGATACCACTTCCTTTTAGTAGTCAGTGGTAGGATCCTGTTGGAGAGGACGGTAGGCTGAAGTATCAGTTATGTGTCTGGAGGCTTCATTAATTTACAGGTCTTTTTGGCACACCACAACAGCTCCTCCTTTGTCTGCTGGTCTGATGACCATATTATCTCTATTGCGGAGAGATTGGAGCACCTGAATTTCTCCTTGGGTGAGGTTAGATTTGTGTTTCCTTGGTGTGGAAAGGGCCTTGGGAGCTTGATTGTTGCATTGGTCAATGAGGTAATTGACTGGTGGAAAATGGCCGGAAGGGGGAGCCCAAAAGCTCTGTTTAGGATTGATATTATTAATGGCATCAATAACCGGGTTGTTGTCAGCTGCTGGTGAAGAGAAGTCATCAGCAAAATGCACTCTGAGCCGAATTCTGCGGTAAAAGCGGTTGAGGTCAACTTGGGTTTGGGGGATGTCCAGCTTTTGGGGGACTGGTACAAAACCGAGGCCTTTGCTGAGAAGATATTGCTCATCTTGTGAAAGGGAAAGGTCAGAGGGTATAGTCACAACAAGGTTAGGATTAGTGGAGGTAGTATACTCCTATATTTAAGTTCCCCTTTTCATTTTCTAGTGGTTAAGAACATTCAACACTGTCTACTCAACACCCAGAGCATATGGTAAAAAACACCTGTCTCAAAATATACCAAAACAATACCAAATAAATGTCTCAAAATAATACAGGTTAGCAGTTCTGTCCTCCATGTAGTTCCTCTGTTTAGGTTCCGAGGCATCTTACTTACAGCAGGACATAACACATTACACAATACATTTACCAGATGTATGGTGATAAGGAAAATATATATATAGATAAAGTAAATGTACAGTCAATTGTTCAAGTTCAAATAGAGCATTTTTATAGCTGTGGGAGTAAAAGATTACTTAGTATTGCTCTTGAATCTAGGCAGTCTAAATTGATACCCAGATGGACGGAACTCAAATTCACTGTGCAGGAGTGGTTAATGATTATATTGGCCTTCCACACGATTTGCTTGATGTAGATGTCTGAAAGCTGTAGTTGTTGTACAACAATAATTTTGTTGGCTACCTTCACAGTCCTGCTTAGTCTGTTTTTATTACATGTATTAAGGTTACCAAACCAGGCTACTGCAGTGAATGTTAGGACATATTAAATGAAAGTAATAAAGTAATTATTCTAGTACAGTGGTTCTCAAACTTTTTGGACCAAGTACCACCCCTCATCAAACCAAAGCATCCACATACCAGTCATCTTTACATAGGTGCCCTTTTCAAAATTATAAATGCAGAATAGAAAACTTGCGATATGCTTGAATTGTTGTCATCTCATGAATCATATTGCAGATGTTGCGGACTAACGGTTTGAAACGTCACAGTGGACTTCATTGGTTATTTTCTTATGAAAACATTCTAGATTAAGCCTTAGGATACCAGTTTTATTGCCTCATACCAGTCATCTTTACATAGGAACCACAGAAAATCTCAATGACCAACATGAGTGTGCAGACACATTCAGTTTGTGGCGCTATATCAATTAAAGGTTATTATTATAACACTAACCTTTAATTGATATAGCGCCTTTAAAGGTGGCTTCTTAAAGCTGTTTACAGAATGACAACTAGGAACAACAACAAAAATAAATAATATAAAAGCACTTACCATTTCAGTGAGCGGGGTGAGCCTGTCAAGCAAAACAGAATTCATTTGTCGAGCCTTGATGCAATTCACAACAGAGTCGTAACAGGTTTTAAATCTCCTGTAGTTCTTCATGGGACATGCCCTCAAACTTGTATCTAACGTAAATGAGCAAATTGGCCAAATCAACTACCTCTACAGACTCATCTAATTGCAGTGAAAAGCATCTGCTCATCTTAACGCTCTCTATCAGCGTACTTTTGACATCATCTGCCATATCAATAATTCTATGAGTGACTATGTCTTTTGAAGGGGGCAGCAGGTCAACCTTTTAGCAGCCTTTTCTCCACACATAATACGTGTCAGCTCTTTTGCCAACGCTAAACAAAGTTCTTCACAAGTAGTGTGGGGCTTACCTGCTTAAGCAATCTGCAAGGTTGCATTTTCCCCCGTTTCCGTTTCAGGAGTCTGTCTCAGAAGTTAAAAGAAGTTTTATCGAGAAGATTGGTGTATTTTTCTTAAAGTAACCTACAACAGTCCTTGAATATTTTTCTGTTATCACACTTTCCTGTGCTCATAAGGTTGCCAGTGTTCCAAAACCATGCACCTTCTCCTACCTCCCTATTTGCTGAAGATAACTTTTTTTTAAAATAAAATTTGTCACTTATGTTTGTAGCATGCATTCCTATGCTTTCCTGTGCTTACAAGATTGACATTGTTACAAAATCATTCACGTTCTCCTACCTCCCTATGTGCTGGAGATAACTTTTTTAAAAAACAATTGGCCACTTATGTTCGTAGCACACATTCTTATACAGTGGTATAGAATTAAATAGTAACTTTTGTGTCCACCTGAGTATTAGCGCGTGGCTGTATCGTTGTATGTAGGCTGCGTATTTGACACAAACTAATTTTATTAAAATAGAAAATATGGAAACCCGTCCCAATTTTTCAGTGCACACAATAACTTTCCAGGGTCATCTGGTGTACAACCTGGGGGCGCTGTGGTACACGTACCATAGTTTGAGAACCATGGTTCTAGTATATACATTAAAAGAGCAGAGTTTTCTTAGGTAGAACAATCGCTATTGGCTCTGGTTGCATATCCATGTTTCCTTCAAAGGTTAGCTTGCAAAGGTTAGCATCTTCTCTGGTGCTGGCTGTCCCGAACAATATGGTTTCCTCTTCCCACCTTAATTTCTCTGAGTCCACTTGTCATACAAGGGGGAAGGAAAATCATACCAGAGCCTTCCTAAGCCGCTCTCTGCCCCAAATGATTGTCTGAGTCTTCTCCTGGCTCCAATGCTGTAATCTTGCATAAACTTGCCTTTTTACAAAAGGTGTGTGTTCTCCCAGACGGGGGCTTTTGAAGCCTTCTTAACAAAAGCTCTTTCGAAACATTATGCACCAAGATTAGGGTGTTAATGGTCCATCAATGCAACACCCATACAGCCTAGGACACCTGGTACCCAAACACCCTTTGCACTCTGTGACACAGACTTCAAGACAACATGGTCCCTGTCATCTGTTGTACCACACCCATTTTTTCCACTATGTGACAGTTACAAGTATGATTAGATTTAAGTTTAGGCATGCATCAAGTTCCACTGTTGTTGTCCTTCAGGCTCTCAAAGGCAGCAGACATGGACCATCACTGGGTGGCCAAGGCCTGGCTCAGTGATGTGGGGCTTCCCCAGTACTCCCAGGCCTTCCATGCCAACCTTGTAGATGGCCGCATGCTGAATTCACTGACTCGACGCGACCTGGAGAAATACCTCAGTGTCACCAAGAAGTTCCACCAGGTTAGCCTGCTGCTGGCCATTGAGCTCTTGCATACCCTCAGCTTTGACAAAGAGGTGAGCTCCTGGGCCTTTTCACACAAGACTGTTCTCTAGTATGCCTGACTCAGCAGGGATGGACTAGGCAAGGTCATTCTTCCACTTATCAGGTGTCAGCAGCTTAATGACCTAACAGCCTACTAGAATCGCCTTGATCACAGGGTCTTCCAAAGTTTGTTCCTCTCATCCATAGCTCCTTGTATAAAGATCACTCTCTTATTTGCAGTGCTCAGCATACTGTAGTCCATTTTCTAGCATCCTGTCTTTTTCTCTCTGTTTAGTTTCAAGTCAATAATGAGGTATCAAATCTTGTTAACATTGCATTCTGCAATTTACCTGAGATATCAGTTCTTGTGCTTTCATGTTTCTGACATTGAAATATCCCATTCATTTAGTGACCTTTTCTGATCACTAAATGCTTTGTGCCTTGGGGGAAAAGGAGGCACACAAGAGGGTATATGAGCAATCTTCCAGCAGTACAGGCATCTGAAGGATGGCTGTTGTGCTCTGTTTAGGTCCTACAGGCTCGCCGGGCCCAGTGTGAGCACCTGAACACAGACCCCATTGTGTGGACCAACCTGAGAGTGCTGAAGTGGATGAGAGACATTGATCTGAAGGTATGGAGTGCTCTTGTCCAGTGGGTTTTTTCTACTGTTTGCCTACTAAACAAGACAAATACAGTGAGGAACAGGGGCATTATTGACCATCTCTCCAAATTATATAATTATATTATTGGACTCAAACCTTTTGTACACACTTCGTGAACTATGCAACATCTCATTTAACCATTATTAGTCTCACTAATCTTTAATAGCATTAAGACACTTACAATTTAGAATTACAGTAGATTGACTATATTTTCTTTTTTTGGTTGAATTTGTGGGAGTTTATCACTGAAACAGGGACTTAATTAGGTATAAAAAGCAAGACTATATAGTCAGGAAATGTTAGTATTACTGCCTGGTCCAATAATTTGGGTGTAAGTCAAGACAGGGCAGTGTCAATATTTACCAGTTACGTGAATATAATCGTTGTTACCTTTCTAACTCAATAGCTTGATTACATTATTTGAAATTCACTGTTATTTGTTTAACATAAATGTAAATATATATTGCTAAGTAACATTAGTTCTCTTATAGAACGGAATGCTGTAAGGTGATGAAAAATTGATGTATTTTTGTTAATTTTAATGTGTGTAGCTTAAAAATGTTGTGCCAGAAAAAATGGCATCAGTTGACCGTTTGTGTGTTGGAAGTCATCTTTATTCATATGCATATGGAAGCCTTGAGTTTTGTGGCACAAGACTTAAATGACATCTCTTACAGTGCTCTTTTATACAGTGAAACAAACGATACAAGGTACACTCCCACATGACTCTATTTGCATTGTGGCTATATATGGTCATTCTAAAAAGATTACCATTACATATATATTCTTTACTGCTGGCTTGTGTGACAAGCAGCCCCTTCTACTGAATAGACCATTTATTCCAGGAGAGGTTACTTGATCATTTCCCTGAGAACTATGTCAGCTATGCGTAAAGACATAATAATAATAATAATTGCTTACACTTATATAGCGCTTTTCTGGACACTCCACTCAAAGCGCTATACAGGTAATGGGGTCTTCCCTCCACCACCACCAATGTGCAGCATCCACCTGGATGATGCGACGGCAGCCATAGTGCGCCAGAACGCTCACCTATCAGCTATTAGTGGGGAGGAGAGCAGAGAGTAATGAAGCCAATTCATAGAGGGGGATTATTAGGAGGCCATGATTGGTAAGGGCCAATGGGAAATTTGGCCAGGACGCCGGGGTTACACCCCTACTCTTTTCGAGAAACACCCTGGGATTTTTAATGACCACAGAGAGTCAGGACCTCGGTTTTACGTCTCATCCGAAGGACGGTGCCTACAGTATGTTATCTTTTGAGACCAGATATCCTGAGACGGATTTAGTAAAATCCAAGTAAATTGATACATAGCTAACAAGATATAATACGAACTTTTAGTAAAAACGTTTGGTTAATTCCCTCAAAACAATTTGATTTTTTTAATTTTCATTAAAAAAACATGCATGTCACACCTTCTTGTCATCCTTTGAACTCTTATGTTTGTGTAATATGGTGCAGCGAACCAAGGACATTTAAGCTGTATTTCAGAAGATACAAATGCCAAATATGCAAATGTAATAAAAATGTTTACTTTAACCTATTTGATTAGTTGGGCTTGTCCTTCTCCTAAACAGGAATAGATTACTGTAGTAGAGCATAGTATACAGTTCAGAGCTTCAAGTTTGAGATAGATTTTTCACTCTGCCATACAGACCAGCTTTGTAGAGTGACTGGGATATTGCTGACATGTGCAAGTTTTTTCCACATCTCTTCCACTAAACTCTGTAGCTCTTCGAAAGTCACTGCAGGCCTTACAGTTGAATCCATAACCAGGTGCCTCCTTGCCTAGCTGATCCATTAGGAGGGACATTATGAGTTTAAGGCATAATGACCACAGAGAGTCAGGACCTCGGTTTTATGTCTCATCCGAAGGACGGCGCCTGTTTACAGTATAGTGTCCCTGTCACTACACTGGTCGTGTAGTGACAGGCCCCAGTGCTGGCCCCACTAAAACCTCTTCCAGCAGCAAAAATAAGTTTTTCCCAGGTCTCCCATCCAGGTACTGACCAGGCTCACACCTGCTTAGCTTCAGGTGGTTGCCAATTGTGAGTTGCAGGGTGATATGGCTGCTGGCTATGTTGGAATTATGTTCGAGTTGGAATTTGAAGCTTGTGCCAGGCCCCCTACTTCATCATCATCCAAATAAAACCTGACTAGAACTAAGTATCTAAACCTTACTAAAGAGAAAGCTTGCTATTCTGTGTTTTTAGGGAACTTGGATTTCTGGGGTAAATGATTCCTCAGTTAGAAACACCTTTCCTGCTTAGGATGCAGTTTTATGGATAGGGATAAAGGCTCCCATTTATTTTGTGGCATCAGGGGTGCAGAGAGAGAGATTTTGCTGTAGGTTGCATTGTATTTAGTTAGAAGGCAGCTCATCTCTTATGTGGCCTTTGTAGCCATTAAGATGGCTTAGTAGCAGTCTGAGGTTTTTGGGTGACCAGAATGTTAGCCCTCTGAAATGCCTTGTTTGTAAATACTGTACATTGAGTAACTTGTGTGTTGTATGTTTTGTGGTGTGTAGTTTGTGTCTTGTCATTGTAATAAATATCTGTTTTACCATGTGTGTCTGGATTATTACTCCTCTCACCAAAGCTGTGCTGCAGAACACAAAATGCAAGGAGAGAACAAAGAATTCACGAATAACAACTGCTCAGGTATATTCTAGAAAAAACACTTACAAGTTGGGGATTATGAATAATTATTTTCTTATCGACTAAACTGCTCAGTCGATTCTCGGTTTTCATCATTTTTGTAACCCCCCATTTGTAGCACTACAAAGTTTAGGAAAAGCCTTTCAGCAACTAATTTGGTAGCTGCAAATTTACTTATCTGATTATTTTATACTATGCAGTAAATCTATTTCTTGAAGGATCCCAAGGAATCTCCTGCATCAAAATAACCAGTTGTACCTCCTTTGTTTGAGGTTGGTACTTCCTAGCTCAAGTCAAAGGGTTATAAGTAACATTAACACATTTTCTTACAGTGAAAAAGCAGATTTCTAGGGATTGCTCAAGAAATTGCTGAAGAAGATATTCATGTCATATTTGCTGGCTTCTAGCAAGCAAAGTGGCATGTCACAGAGACTACAGACATGATCTCATGATCCTCCACCTTTGCAGGAGTATGCTGACAATCTTCAGAACAGTGGTGTCCATGGGGCTGTGTTGGTCCTGGAGCCTGCCTTCAACACCGATGCCATGGCAGCTGTGCTGGGGATTCCCAGCAACAAGCACATCATCCGCAGGCACCTGTGTGAGGAGATGAAGGCCCTCATCAATTCCACAAGGTGAGGGCTGCACTGGGGAAGGCTTATCTGTATCTTGTCCACATTCTACACTTGAAATGGAAGACAAAAGGAAGGAAGGGAGGGATAGAATCAGAAGGGAATGGAGGTTTGGGGGAGGTGTGGATCACAAGTGTCTTCAAAATGCAAGGACTTCTTGACAATGTTACAGTGCATTTGCTCTTGGTAAACATTTTAACAAAACAGAATTGACTTACATTCCCACTTGTCATTCCTGTTATGTCATTTATTTTTGTCATTTTTGTGTATTGCATCAGGCAGAAAAGAGCCCATTAAAAATGTGTGTAATACTGATAATGATCCCCCATACATATTTTTTGTGGTTGAAATAGCATTTTTCAAATGTTTATTTTCCCAACAACAGAGAAAAAAAAACTACTGGCATGTCAACAACATAAAGTGAAATGGTAGACATAGTTAATGACTTAATTATTTTTCAGTTTATTACAGTTTCTTAAAGCACCTAAACAATCAGGGTTTAGGCAGAGTGAGGCAAACATGGATGAGAGAATCATTAAGGAATTGTAATCGTAATATGGTGTGCTTCAAATTATTTTTTGAAACTGTGCAGATTTAGTCCAAAAGTTAATACTTTCAAGAATGTAGACTTAGAAGGAATGGGACAGAGCTCAGAAGAAGAAGGCATAGGATAGATATGGAATAAGTGTAGAATGGATGGCAATAGTTTAAAGAGATTCTAGCTGAAGCAGAGATCAAATTTATACCAAGTGTTGCAAATCACCAGCTAAAAAAGTAATCCCAAAATGGTTCAACAAATCAAGGTAGGAAATACCTGAGGTAAAAAAGTGCTTTATAAAATCATTAAAAACAACAAGACCCAGTTAAAAAAGGGATTCCAATGAATGGCAAGCACAGGCAAAAAAGGATGTAAGGGAGGCCATGAGAGAGAAAGAAAATAATATTGCAATGAAGTATAAGGTAACTAATAAACAATTATTGATGATAAATAATTATAGATCAATAAGTCAGACCGATTACATGTGATGGATATTACATCCTAAACAGTAATTTGTAGTTGATTTAGAAAAGGTAGGACTTCCTTAACTAACTTGTTAGAGTTTTTTGAACAAACCAAACCAATAATGGACACAAACAGAGAATATGACATGGTGTATAATGAATGTGATAGTTGAATTTACAGGAATAAATAGAAATTTTATCAGTAGATTTTGAGAGTGCTTTAAAGCCATTAGGAATCAACTGGACAGAATAATAAGCAGTCACTGACTGGAAATACACAGTATATTTTTATTACTACAACAAATCACGTATACCAAACTATTAAGAGTAATTTTATACTGTATATGAGTTAGTCTGCTGTTGTACAAATGGCTGATCATTCACTCAGGTTACAAAGACATAAATAACATTGGGGTTATGATACTGTATACATGGACAAATAGAGGGTGAATAGAAATGACCAAGCGGACTAATCAATAAGTAAATTACATACACTAAACAACACACAACATACAAGTTACACTATTTACAAATACGAACAAGCCATTTCAGAGACCTAAGTTTTAACCACCCAGACAGACCACACCCAAACAGCTAACCAAGTATTCAACCCTTAAACAACACCTACAAAGGCCAAAAGAAGTGAGATCTGTCTTTTAAACTAAACAGAGTATGACCTAGTTAAGTCTCTCTCTTCATAATCTTTCTCCCTATTCTTAAAATGAACCCACTAACTAGAAGAGTATTTTAACTGAGGGATTCTTTACACAGGAATCATAGTTTCTAACAACCACAGAAGAGCAAGATCTCTTAACAAGGTCCAAATACATAACTTCAGCTTGGTCTCTATGGATGATCAGGACAAAGGGTTCTCATCTTCTGCCTTTCTGTCCCTTCTCATCCCTCCTTTCTCTTCGTTTCTCTCTTTTTTCCTACCTGATTGTCTTCCTGGACTGTTGATTGACACTTAATCATTTACCCAGAACCTAATTATTTAAGGTAAAGTCCTGAGAACTGGAAATATTAACACTAACCAGGTTTTACTCATTGTATCTAGATTACTCAAGACACTTCAATAGTCACAATAGTTGTAACATTGACTATAGCATTTGTTGTGGTCTACTTTGTAACTTAAATAACTATTATAAAATTAATCACATTTATATTCTCAAAGACCAGTAAACATTTTGCTCATTAATTACACTTTATCAAATGTCTTAATAAAAATAGTTTAGCACCTGATATTATAATGTTGATATTGTAATGACCGCGGGTTTTGGTACAGAATGGAGCAGGCATGGGACTCAGGGAATGGGCTTGAACAACACATTTATTAATTCGAACTGGGGAAAGGTACACACAAAGGGACAGGGGTTACAGCACTGCACCTTCACTAACACACACACACACGAAGGGAAGAGTCTGTCTCCCAGCCTCCACCCCACTATATACAGTCCCGTAGTCAGGCCCGCCTATAGGGAACAGGACAGCATCAGTGAGGACCTTAAAATACCAAATTTAGACAAGTGAGATCAACAAACGATTTAGTTTATTATTAACAGTCCCATAGTCCCAGGAGCTGTTCTCAGCCCGCCTTGCATGTGCATGGCTAAAGCGCCCTGCGTGGTGCTACATTGCCCCTGTCTGAAGAGTCTAGGGTCCCGCCGACCCCAAACCATTCCTCCAGACTGTACTCACAAGGCAGGCTGCTCCGCAGGCTCCTCCTGCTAGCCTCTCTATCTGGGCAGGGGACCTCCGTCTGGGCAGGCTCTCCGTCTGAGCAGGCTCTACATCCAGGCCAGGACCCTCCGTCTGGGCAAGCTCTCCATCCAGACCAGGACCCTCCATCTGGGCAGGCTCCTTGTCTCGGACAGGGCTCTCTCCCCGCGTGCTGGGCCTCTCACCGCAGTGCTCCGAGCCTTTGACCGCTCCACTATGACACCAATGTAATGACCGCAGGTTTCGGTACGGAATGGAGCAGGCATGGGACTCAGGGAATGGGGTTGAACAACACATTTATTAACTCAAACCAGGGAAAGGTACACACACAGGGAAAGGGGTTACAGAGCTGCACCTACACTAACACAGACAGGAACAGGAAGAGGCTGTCTCCCAGCTTCCACCAAACTATATACAGTTGTGTAGTCCCACCCCCAGGTGTTGTTCTCAGCCCACCTTGCGTGCGCATGGCTAAAGTGCCCTGCGTGGCGCTACAATATTAAAATTTTACTCATCCAATGCTGGCCAGGACGGTTTTAATGAGAGAGTTTAAAGTTCTGCGTGGAGACAGTGGATGGGTGATGAAAACATGGTTTATCCCAGGGTGTATAAAATATATCATTACTCATTAGAACTGTTGTCATCAGGATCATTGCACAAGTCAGCAAGATAACTATTATTCAAAACAGACAATACCCAGATGTATTTTTATAAACAACTGGCATTCACAGCACTGTCTCTGGATTATTCCCATCTTCTCCTACTCTCTGTCTACATTCATCACCACAGACTTGTACAATTGCTCTCTCTTCATTCACTGGACACTCTAAAAATCTATTCAATTTTTTTCTCCAAGTTATCATAATATAATCTTGGTACTTTGATCTTGAGCGCCTCTTTTGCTGCCCATGGATCATCAGAAATCACTGTTGTTTCTCCTTCAAAGACTTTCAGTTAAGCAGGATATAAAACTTATGTCTTCAATTTTTAGCTTGAAGCATTTTTCTAATAGCCTTGAAGAGATTTTGTTCTTGTTGAACTATTGCTGTAAAATCTTGAAGTAAATTCTACCCATGCCCTTTAAAATACATCTCCTTTTTTTTCCATGCAGTTTTTAAGATCCTCATCCCAGTTAGAAAACTGCACAATGATTGAGTACATTCTCACATCGTCTATAGACTTTTTAATAAGTGAGCAGTGGGCATGAATTATCCTCAGGCCTTCACTGTCCTCAGGAGCTCCTATGGAAGAAGAAACGTGATCATTTCTTCTTCCCCGATGCCCTCTTTTCACAATATAAATTTGGATATTGTTTTGTCGCAATTTATGTTCATGATAATCAGTTTTGTAAATCATACTTATTTCTTTCATTAGGTATTGAACTAACTCTAATAATTTTTCATCACAATATATCTATTTTCAACCTCTGCTACCGTTTTATTCGTCTCTTGACGTTTTGGCTTAAGATCTCTCATTTCTCTATGAAGCACAGAAAGTATCTCTTTCATTTCTAAATTCTTTAAGATCTCTCCTCAGTTCACTTAATTGGTCATTAATGTTATAACTTTCATGTAATCATCCATCATCAGAAACTGAAGCCAAAACATTTGTTTTTGTTTGCTTTTGACCTTTATTATTTCTATTAGAAAACTGGATAGTTGTACCTGAACGTAAATTAATTTGCCCATTAGGATCATTTTGCAACTTTTAATTACTAGGCAATATTCCCTCTAGAAGTACGTTAGAAGATGGTAGCGTAAGAAATATAAGCCTGCAATACCTTGATGGTTTAAATCACAAAAATGCAGAATCACTCACTTGCAGCCTGGTGTCTTAAAGTTTTCTGGCTTGATCATGTGGTCCATTTTTCAGCCATGGTTTGATTGAGTGATCGGAGCTGTAAAGTGAGAAAGAAAGTGCGCTGTACAGTCACTTTAAAATCTGGAAATCATGCTTGGTAATTGGTTGTCACATCATTAGTTCCTCTTAAATTAGTAATCTTTTGGGTGAACTCTAATTCAGTTTCCCAGTCAAGATGGGGTCTTTTGGTGTGTTCAAGACTGAAAGATTTCTTGTTGCATGCTTAAACCATGGAAAGTGCCCCAGAATGGATTAGTCAATGGTAGGCAGTCCTGGTCTCTAATAGAGACTCACAACCAGCCGCTTAACCGGGCGGTCCCTTTCAAGCTGTATTCCTAGTGCTTTGCACAAAACACTAACCTGATAGGAAAAAGAAGCATTTTTAGAAAATTTTATTGACACTTAATTCTTACTGTAATGATATTCCTTGTCTGACTACAAGTTTATCTAAATTTTCAGAAGGTCTTAGATAACATTCCCCATAAAAGATTAATGCTTGAATTACAAGCAGTTGGCTGTCAGGGAAATGAGTGCATATGGATTGAGAATTAGCAAAAAAACACATCGTATGTGAGGGGTGAATATTCAAATTGGGGTGATATAATTAGTAGAGTACTGCAGGAATCTATACTTGGACCACTGCTTTACTTAATTTATATCAATGATATAGTTAGTCACTTTTGCAGAGTTACACCAAATTAAGATCAGCAAACACTGAAGAAGCAGCAAATTAAATTCAAACAAAGTCAAGACTAGGCAAACACCTGGCAGATGATGTTTAATGTTGACAGATCCAGGGTTTTGCATGCATGTAATAAATACATACACTCCAAACAATACAAAATGGGAAACAAAATGGGAAAATGGGAGACAGAAGGGGCTGTTTTTGAAAAACAAAAATGTGTATACAGTATGTTGACACATTGTTTATATCTTCCAGACAATGTTGGGAAGCAATAAAAAGGAAAACAAAGCCTTGGTTTATATAGTCAAATGTGTAGAATTAAAATCGGTGGATGTCATGTTAAAATAGTATAATATACTAATTACACCTTATTAAGAACATCGTGTACAATTGTGATCACTATGTTTAGATAGAATATGCCAAAAATACGGTCCTTGCTGTTTTTACTCTATCACAGTAGGTGGCAGTAACGGTTTGTATTTGTTTATTCAGACAACATGAAGTAGTAAAAAAACAAACCCTTCACTTTAAATAAACACACCCATCCACTGGCACCAATCTCTGCTTTCTTGCGCTTCAGGGCATATGAAAAAAAAACTGGTGTAACCAGCAACCTCAACACTTCACAACCTGTTTAATAACCTTTAATAACTATGCAATAAGACCAGCAGTGTGTTGTGCAGAGAGGGGTGAGGCTGGCAGTGCAGTGGGTAAGACTGACTGTGTGTTGTGCAGAGAGGTGTCCAGATGGCAGTGCGGTGGGTAAGACTGATTGGCTGGTGTTGTGAAGAATGCAGGGATGAAAGTAGTGACTAAGGCTCGGTACTCATATTTCCTCAGGTTGGGTCTGCAGCAGGACTACGAGAGAGTAGGAACATACACTATTTTGCGACAGAGCACAATGGGACGCCTGACTTCCCCAGTGAGCAGACCACCAGAGGATGACCATTTCCTTAATCGGTGCATGGGGAAGGTGGGTACTAGCAAGTCCTCTGGTACCTGTCCCTGGACCCCTCTACTGCCAACCTGTCTGGTGCTGTGGAACCACTATGTAGCCCTCCCTAGATGATGCCGTGGCAGCCATAGTGCACCTGTACAGTCATCAGACACCAGCTCTCGGTGGGGAGGAGAACAGAGTGATGAAGCCATTTAATAGATTGGGATTATTAGGAGGCCAGGACTCGGGTTACATCCCTAAAATGCCCTAGGATTTTTAATGACTATAGAGTATGTTTAGGAAACCCATTTAATAGGTGGTATACAGCTATAAAACAGTAGAGCTTAGTAAGCCAAGGAAAACTTGATAAAATGGCACAAACGTCACTGTAAACGACAGTAAACGACTGGTAAACTTTCAGATAGGTCACATTTTCAACACTGTCTCTTAGGACTGAATTTCACTTCTGTAATGGTCTTTACCATGCATGTTTTTTAGATGTTATTAACTGCCACTACATATTTTTCCAGGATTTGCAGAGTTGCAGTCACTTCTTCCTGTGGTCTTGCCTTTCTTCACTGGCTCTGATTCTTCTCTCTCCCTCATTATTGTTTCAGCTTCCCCTGGGCTTTAACCCAAAGACCTACAGTGGGAGAGAAATGGGGCTCCACAGCAGCTGTGGCTCCCTCCCAAAAGAAGCCCGTAAGGATCCCCAGCCAAGGACAGAAGGTAGTCCAGTGCTCAGCTACTCAGGGATCGAGGTCACCAATGTGTAGCCTTGCCCTTGCTGTCTGCTGTGTCCACACTGGTTGGAGTGGAAAACAGAGTTCACAAGAGAGCCCGGGTTCAGTGTTGTCTAAAGGCCTGTCGTATTGGGCTTCTCAACTGTTTGTACAGAAAATGTCCTTAAAACTGTGATCAAGCAGGTATGGACGTGAAAAGGGAATTGTTTTTTTGGATATTTCTTGCGATCAGCATGTTCCCTTTTTAACATTTAAAACCGAGTAAAATGTCACTCTTTTTTTAAACCAGGGTATTGGTAAAGTTGTGTTCATTATAAGAACCATGCTTCTTTTAGAAGCAGACACACGGATAATAGTACAAATACTGTATTCTGTGGCCTTCTCTGTCTTTTTCACAGGAGAAGCTGACACATTTTAAGTGCAATATATTTTAAGAAATGCATCCATGGGCTGAAGAAAGCTTTTAAAACACTTCTTTTGTACAAAAGATATTTGCTTATCTTAATGACTTTTCCAGACTTGCAAGGAAATGTAACATCAAGGTGAATACCACCTCCATGCAGTACACATAGGCCTGGCAGGACATGAGCTACCCAATAAAAGGAATATTTTCTTGTGATTATACAAATGTTCAACTACAAAAAAGTCTTAGAGAAAAAATCAGCACATTTAAAAACAAGTTTATTTGCCCTCTGGTACAAATTTTTGTTTAACAATATTTAGTCAATGACATGGGCTTTGTATCACAGACTAGTCAGGCTTTACTTGAATTTAAGTTAATTTTATTCTACAGTAGGTGGACTATATGGGGTTTAGTCTTAACAACACATTGTATTTTGTATTTCATGGAGTATCTCCCCAGCCAAATAGAATCTTTTTGTGTTTAAATAGCTGACACTGTACAAAGAGTTTAAATCTCTTATCTGTTATTTTCCATGTATGCTTTCATATCTTGTGTCATACCTGCAAAATACTGTGTTAAAAGCATCAAGTTTGAAACTGTAAAATGCAAAAAATGTTTTGAGAAATGCAACCAAGCGTGCAGTGACTTAACAAGAACCCTAGAACTACCTTTGTCTGAGCAGACCTTAGTCTAGACCTTAGAGTATCACCGTGTCCTTTCTGCTCTGGCCTGCAGTGTCTCAGTGTATCACTTCTGCTCCAGTTTGCACTGTCTCAAGGATGTAGTGTGAGAATGACTCTTTTGCTCTGGTCTGTGTTGTGTCAATGAGGGAGTGTCAGTGTGTGTTTTCTGCTATGATCTCCATTATCTCATAGAGTGAGTGTTTTGTTATTGTGCCTCTTTTGCTCTGGTCTGTGCTGTCTCAGTAAGGAAGTGTCAGTGTGTCACATGTGCTCTGGCCTGCACTGTCCCATTAAGGAACAGCATGCCATGACCTTCCAGACATGATGGGAAAACTTGACCCATGACTTGACTATGTGTGAGGCCATGAGAAGTGGCATTGTGAGAACAAAAAAATAGAATGAGGCACAGCTGGTCTGATTGAGTAATTAGCACTCAGAGGGAATGAAATTCCATGTAAATAAGGAGTTGTGAGGAAAAGTTCTACATGGAACTGATTACTCCTCTGAGGTTATTTCATTCTATATCTATGCTCCAGCCTGGAAGGAAGAAGAATAACAGCTCTCCCCTTTTCTCACCTGAAAAAACAGTTTAAGCTGTATTGATGGACCATTAGAGGTACAGGACAGACAGGATGCAGGGTATTTCATCTGCCAGGATCCAGCTGGTTGAGGTGCACTGCCGAGGAATATTGCTGGGCAGCGGAACCAGTAGACTGGAGGCAGACCTCCTACACCTGGAGGAGTGGGGCAGTGCTTGGCAAGGTAGCAGTGCATTTTTTTACCACAGCTGAGAGAGAAGAGTTTAAATGGCACAGGTTGAGTCCAGTTCTCCCTGGACTTGACTAGCAGCAGACTGACAGGTCATCTCAGAGAGAGTGAGATAAAAGTAGAAATAAGAAGTTTCCACAAGATGCAAATGTTTGTTCTAGGGAAGCATCCGTGGCCAAACAGCATGAGCCGGTATAGTTAGTAATGGGAAATATTACTGAAAATCAGGGTAATGAGTACAAAAACTTGGTAATGAGTGCAAATGAAACATTGATTGCAAGTGATTACTTTAATGCGCAGTATGAGTGACACAAAGTTAATCAAGTTGATACTCTATAGGTGTTTGTGTTGAAATGATTTTAGGAAAGATTGCAATTGGGTGACAAGGATTAAGTCTAATCAAATACCTTCGTCCCTTGTGATTGAGGAAGACAAAATGTGAAGAGTTAATCAGATCTAATTAGTGTGATGAGGATGTGTAGTTCGTATAGACTAATGAAGACAAAGAGTGAATAGTTAGTTAGAATAGGTAGTGAGTAAGAGGACTGCACGGTGTTTCCCAAGAGGGGATCACCATGAAAGAGTTAGGATCCTGAAAGGGGTCTGAAAGATAAAAGGCAGTGTTGCCATTAATCTGATGCGTGACAGTTGTTTTCACACTGAGATAATACAAGCAAGAGCAGAAGATATGCTAAGTACTCTGCCGTAGATCTCAAGATGGTTTTCATTTTTATAAACTGGCAGATATTAAAATAATAAATTATTCAAATTATTTTCATCCTGTAGCCACTTAACAGAGTGTTATACTATTCTCTTACCTGTTTGAGCTGCTATTACATCCTCTGTACTTAATTCTGTGCTGTTCTGTTTCTGGTGGTGTTTCTTTTTACTCAGTATTACTGAATGTTCCCATGATGCCACATCTTAAGAGATCTGAAGCCCAGTGGTGTAATATGAAGAAAAATGTACTCTCACATCACGGGACTGATAAGATTACACTGGTTTGAAAACCACCTGATCTTCTAGTGACACAGGACTTCTGAGTTTGCTACACAGTAGTTAGGGGTCAATAATCTTTCAGAAGTGGCATACCAAAAGTTAACGTATTCATTTCTATTAACAGATTTGTGTGCCACTCATACATTTTACAATATCAATTAATAGTTCTACCTACATTTTAGCAGTTGCTTATATAAATTAAGATGTGGATCAAGAAATAAAAGACGAATTTTGCAAGAAATACCAACAGTAATTCAAAAAGACCCAGTTTTCTTGTTCCCTACAGATGGATTTTGTGAAGATGTGTGATGCTGTCAGTTAGAAATGTTATTTGCAAAACTTATTTGTTATCATCTATTTTAGGTTATTTTGACTTATTTTTGATTAAAAGATGCTAAATGCATCAAGAGCTGCAAAAACTTCCCACAGCTAAGCCAAGTAATGTTGTTGTGAAGTTGAATGTCCTTGTTTGCATTAAACTTTGCATCAAGGCAGATTGACCAATAAGATAATTCATTGTCTTCACAATATTAAGTCCAGGTGTACGGTTTTTATGCTGAACAAATCCATACTTTTTTACTTGGTGACAGTATAACAATGATATAGATCATTCTTCTCTATTTGATTCACACCGACCTCACACTGGAAAACATTTATTTTAACATTATCAATTCTTTGCTCAACCATCACAAATGAAATAGGTTTAGATCTTGGTTAGCTAAACATAGGAATAAACGTAAAGCCATGGTTTTATTATGAAATACATATGGCACATCTATCAAACAGTGCACTCAGAACTTTAATCCAAGATTTAATCCAAGCCAATCTCCCAGCATGGTTACCAGAGCTGAGACACTGCTTTGTTGTAGGAACTGCTGTCCTTTGGATGAGATTTTATGCCTTTTTATTACTGCTTGGTCATTAAAGATCCCCTGGCACTGTAAAGGTGTTGAACCTAGTCCTGGACATTCAAATTCTGCTAAGGGTTTGAACAGTCTGCCCCCCCTTCATCCCTGCATGTATTGTTTTGCATGTATTGACCAAAGAAGAGAAAAGTTCTTAGAGAACTCTGTATTCATGGCTTCTATGGGGTGTTTTTTCTTATTTAGTGTAGTTCTGGTTTGTGATGAGACCTTACTCTTTGGTTGAATTACACTTTCAAATATTCTGAGTCAGATTTCTTTTGGGTGGGGTGTTATTGCAAAGTCTCCTTCTTATGACATAGAAGAATCTTCCTCTCCTGAGTCCTACCTCATTATCCTCACTGCCAGGTCAAACCTCCCTCATGAATCGATCTTCAGCTCAATGTATTTGTAGGAGGTTACTGTGTGTGTTCCATCCATCATTTTCTGTAAGAGGGCTCTGTAGCACCCAGATGAAATCCATGCAAGCATGGAGAGGACATACAAACTCTAAGCAGACAGCACCCTAGGAATTGAACCTAGGGCCCCAGTGCTGCAAGGCAGCAATGCTAACATACTTTACCATCATGTGCCTTATGTGTTATTATTTATTGTTTCCCTGAGATCTTTTTTTCTTCTGATAAACCATGACTCTTTTTGTCCAGATTTACAGCCAGTGCTTAAGTCGAACAACAGGGCTCCAACAATTCCAGGTAATGCTATAGCCCTTATTCGACAGCAGGCGATAGCAGGACTAGGTTAATGTCAAAGAGCAGAAACTTTATCTGTTTGTGCAATGTGAGGACAGGAGTTGTAGTCTGTTCCAACATCTCCATTAGATTATATAAATATGTTGAATAGTGCTGAGTTCAGGTAACATCCTTATCTCAACCCACAACCCTGAGTGAAGAAGTCTTTTCCAATTTTCACTGCACACTTCTTCTGTTAGTACATCAATTTTATTTATGTCATTGACTTTCTTGCAGAATTGAGACAAATTATTTAAAAAATACAGCTGAGATAGATTTTAGCTCTGAACTGATAAATATTTTACCTTTAATTTGTGGAGTACCGTTTGTGTAGGCTGTAAATATGATTGGATCTTCAGTTGTTAGAAATCCTAAATTATTTCATAGTATTTTTTCCCATGAAAGTATTCCTGTTGGCACTACCATGCATTGAGCAAATGAAAACATGCTCCATAGTTTTCACTTTAGAAATATTTCGTCATGCAATTCTTCCTTTTCCTTTTACATGCCTGTCTGGTGGGGCAAATAATCACTGTCACAGAATTCTTCAACAGTAATCAGGCTTCTGTACTTATTTACAGATGTACTTTGAGCCACTGCATTGCACAAAGCGAGGAGATACAGTATTTTTGTAATTCATTTTCAAACCAGAAAGCTGAAAAATTCCCAAATCAAAGATGTAAAGGTTAGTCTGTGGGTAGAATTATTATTGTCAGTTTGTATGACTACCTAAAATTCCCAGTTTCAGTTTAATAAGAAAGCTAAGAAATTTCAAGTCCAGAATAAATATGAAATTTTAACACATCTAGTATCTACAAAATACAAACCACACATGGAAAATCCTGTGTGTTTAACACAATATTACAGGCCTCCTACATCAGGCTTCTGATTATGCACAGGTGCTTGTGCTGTCTGAGACAGGAAGGCCTGGGACTCAGCTCTTGGGCAGGCTGGTTAGCGACATAGCCTGTCACTTGTATGCCAGTGTTATATTTGAAATTTCTTGGACTGCATTCCACAGATAACCATGCTGTGGCCCTCAGTACTCAGAGTCCCTGGCAGAACTCTTTTGAAAATGCTTTGTGATGTATTGTTCTCAGAGAGGTTGATGATCTTAACCAGCACAGAATTCTGTTCCTGCTGGAAACTGCTACTCAGCTACTGTGCAGTTTATGAGACTAGTTTAAGAATTATGGACTGATTGTGACAGTAAATCAGCTTTACTTAGAATATTGCAGTTTTGTATTATATTTTTGCAATGAATAGAGCTGCATAACTGCTGTAATTATGGAAGATTTCTTGCAGGGCAGTATTGTGCTTTGAAGACGTTGTTACTCGTTTGTTTTTTCCTGTTATTTGGTTTCTGATCTGTGTTTTAGCAAAGGGCTTCACCTCTTTCTGCCATTGTTTAGGCTTTGATTTGCAGTTAAGTACTATTCTACCTCAGTGTTGCAGCACTCAGAGCCTTTGGCTGTTGAGAGGAAATGTCAATGGGAAAGCATTGTTTCACTGAGTATATCTCAGTCCTGCACACCTGTGTTTGGATTTTAAAGCCTGACATTTTTTTTGTAAAAGCACAACAATGATTCCATGTAGTTCAAGTAGGTAGCTGCGTCAGCATGCATAGGCTGCAAAGGATCAAGTAAAGGTTTATGACATGCTGAAGAAAAGATAGAACAGCGTTTCGGCTGTGGAGCCTTCTTCGGATGTGAATGATTCCATGTATCCATACCATGTCTTGAAACATTATATTTCCCCGGAGATTCAATAGTTAAATATACTTTCTGGTTTTCCTAACAGGTTTCTACATTATAATTATATTAATCAACACAGTACATACTTTTATAACTACCCAAATATCCCCCAAAATACAATAAAATAATTGCATACATCTAATTTTCTTTTTTATTGACATATGCTTAATATTATATTAATTTGTCTTTTTGCATACCCCAGCTTGCTCCCCATGAGACACACATACAGGGAGAGAAGCTTAGGGTCAGAGCACAGGTTCAGCCATTGTACCCCTGGAGCAGTTGGGGGTAACCATCTCATCCAGACATGGGATTTGAACCATCAATTTTCCAGCCACAGGTGCACATCCGTAGCCACAGTACCACCGCACCACCCCATTTATTATATTGATTTAATGTAGTTTAATGCAAAAACGTACTTCTATGCACACTAATACTCAGTCTATAAAATAGCTTGTCACTGTTGTTCTACACACAGTACAACTAACATAGTTGTAGTATTTTTTTTTACCAAACTCTTTTGCATGTATACAAAACCTTGGATCAAACGACAAATGTTTCTGGAGAGCCACAGTCCAGTCAATCTTATTGGTCACTCTGGTTTGGGAGAACTTATTGATCAATGAAATCTGTAATTTGTTCAATCAAGGAAGCACTTCTCCTTGAGGAGTGATTCATATTTGTGTTTCAAATGATGTATAAAAATTACTGACAAAACCACCTGTCATTATGTAGGTAATGACAATTAAATGATGTTAAGTTATTGTTCAGAGATGAATCATTTAGCAGTTACCTAGCACCTATAATATACGATCTACAAGTAACTACAGTGTATTGTAGTACTGGGCTCCTGTCCTCCAGGAGACCTGGAGACTCTTGTTTATAAACAGCTTTTCAAGGTGCAGACAATGTGGGAGATAAAGTTGGTTTATGAAAGAAATCGAATGGGAGAACGTCTTACCAAAAATAACAGTGTGAATGAAAAGAATACTTGTGAATGGTAGAGAGCACCAAGTCTTCTTACCTTTTAGAAATGAAGATGCTAGAGCATCTTAAATATAAACATCTTATTTCTTAATCTCTTATAGAAATGAATGATGTTTTCTGCCAGAATAGAATCAACAGGCTGACTTTCCAAAGAGAATTGGGTTCAGTTGTGTCTGTTTCAGACAATCCTAATTTGTATTCAGTGATATGACTTCCATTATGATTATACAGTAGCTGTCTGAGTCATATGTATATTTAATAGCAGCACCTGCAAAACTGTCTGGTGTCAAGATAATAGTTTTCTGTGACTTTGTGGATATGAGCAGTCTGCACATGTTTCAAATTGCCTATATTGTTTCTCCACACTTCCATTTCTAATTGTCCATTCATCACTGTTACTAACAATACACCTCAAAGTGCCTAATCCAGAGGGATTCTCCTTGTCTTCTATTTCATTTCTACTGTCTTACTTACCAGCATCACTCAGCTCTCATTCCTGACCACATGGATGGACAGGTCAGGTATCAGATGCCAGGTGGTAAGAAAAGTGATTACAGGGAATTTTGTGTTGCTATAGTACAGTATGTATTGTTGCTTTTATTGTTATATATTATAATGCAGATATTTTGAACTTTGTTCAAACTGTGTTAATCGTAGGAAGTATGAAAAGCATCTTTCTACATGAAATAACCACAAGATCACTTTCTTCTAAATGATGCCTTAGACAGTTTATTATCATGTGTACAAAAAAACATAATCTAGGTGCAGTAGTGTCCAACAACACCATATTAAAGCTTGACAATGTACAGAGGGTTGAAGCCTGATACAAGGAACCATGGCATGAATGACAAAGCAAGTTATTTTGTGATAAGCATGGCAGAATAGTAGGGAAACAGAAAAAAACTGAGCAACACCATTGCAAATCTGAACACAAACAGAGCACAAGCTTTAAAACTGAGGATGTGTGGTTGGATTATATCAGTATGTTTTTCAGTTGTCAAAAAGTATTTACAATAATGCTGATGAGAAGTGATTTTAGTTTTCCAGCTCTACCCCTTGTCAGTGTGCAAACACAATCTGGAATATCTGGGTACAGCAATACTGTTTTCCCTGTTAATCAAAACTGTGAAAGTGTGCTTGTTTTTTGTCCTTTGTAAAACTGATTTCATGAGTATTTAAACTAAAAGGGACAACTTCTGTTCTATCACACATTATCTAATTTGACTGTTACTAATTTGATGCATTACAACACTGTAATTCAATACATTTGTTTTATGACTTGCTCCCCAAAGTACTTAAAAAACACAGCCAAGAAAAGGACAACCAGGAATTCAACATAGCTGTGAATCCTCTGTTTGTAAATCCAATTATTTCCCATTATGTAAAATGACATTATTCAAACCACTTAAGCCTAATTTTAAAAATAGTTTATCTCAGTGTAACTTGTATGTCAATTTGATTTTACTTGTATTTCAGCCTTTTTGTGATTTTATAATGATTTGTTAATATGCAAAACATTTTTTTCAATTTAAGAAAAAAAAAAGATGGAGACCATGGCATAAGAAGAAAAATAACCTGTCACATTTTTGGATGGAGAGGTCTTCTGTAATTATTAAGTTTGGTACTGAGGCAAAGACCTCATCTTTTTGCAAGGAGGCAAAATCAATGTAATCGAGGAGGTAGTTCTGTGGTTTCCTTTCAGAATGCAGAATCATGGAGAGGAACATCTTACTGTCGAACACAATAGGCATTCAGAGCTTAAATGTTAGAAGAGTTCTCTTTCAGCTAATAGGCAGCTTCAGTGAGATGTCCTGACAGTGGCTAATGGGAGAATTTGTGGTGACATATTTTAAATAGCACATCTGACAGATAAATAATGCTAACCTTGTATTAGTGTACATACTCAGAAATGTTGATAGAGTAATACTGAAAGAATATCTAGATGATGTAGTTAATGGCTTGGATAAGATGGAAAGTTCAAGCAAATTTAATGATGTAATTAATGTACAGAATATTAAAGCAAAAAATATATACAATATATTTATGGTGTATTTTGTTTTTATTTGTTTTATAAAAACAGTTATTCTCCTCTAGATATACAGATCTATCCAATGGTGTCCCGTTTTGTGAGCTTACAAAATGATACATACAGTAGGTATTTTTTCATTTTAGGTAAGATCTACATTTTACACTGGCTTTGTGCAATTTTTGCATACTTTTCTAGGCAGGTTTGCTTAAACTCTTTTACGTTTGGGATTGCTTAAGGAAGTCTTTCCACAGACTGTCAAAAAGATTCAAATGAAGAATTAGTCAATGCCACTCAAGACCATTAATTTATTACTCTTAAGTCTCTCTTGTGTAGTTTTTACTTTATGCTTTGGATTATTATCCTAAAAGTGACTTTTCATCCCTTTTACACCCTAGCCAGCTGCTACATCACCATGCTACTCACAAGTAGCAACCCACTGAAGCTCTGGAGGTGTGAACCTGGCCAGTACCTGGATGGGAGACCACCTAGGAAAGCTAAGGTTGCTGCTGGAAGACGTGTTAGTGGGACCAATATGTGGCGTTCACAATTGCGGTCTGTGTGGGTACTAATGCCCCAGTATAGTGAAGGAGACACTATATTGTAAAAAGATGCAGTCCTTAGGATGAGATGTAAAACCAAGGTCCTGACTCTCCATGGTCATTAAAAATCCTAGGGTATCAGACATGGCCTCCTAATAATCCCCATCTATTAATTGGCTTTACCACTCTGTTCTCCTCCCCACTGAGAGCTGGTGTGTGGTGAGTGTACTGGTGTACTTTGGCTGCCATTGCATCATCCAGGTGGGGACTACACATTGGTGGTGGTGGAGGGGAGTCCCCATTACCTGTAAAGCGCTTTGAGTGAAGTGTCCAGGAATTATTATTAGTTTCAAGGGTTTAGCAGACTGAAACAATTTTTCTTTTGGTAGCTGTCATTTCTTTCCAGTTGCTGCTGAAGGGCAGAATCCCTATAGCATAATATAAATATTAGTTTAGAATATTGATTCTAACGCTACATTGATAGGGTTGCAGGGGAGCTGGAGCCTATTCCAGCAAGCAAAGGGCATGAGGCAGGATGCCAGTCCATAACAGGGAACACAGACACAAACACACACTTACACAAACATGCTAACTCTAAGGCCAATTTTTTCTCAGGAGCCAATTAACCTACCAGTATGTCTTTGGACTGTAGGAGGAAACTTGAGCATCTGGAGGAAAACCACACAAACACGGGGAGAACATATAAACTTAATACAGACAACACCCTAGGAACTGAAACAACTGCAAAGCAACAATACTTATCACTGCAACACTATTTTGTCTTTGTTTTTCATCCATGTACCCAAAATCAAGAAACACATAATCCTGACAAGGATCATACCAATCCAGTGCTGAGCTCTGAGCACAGGGAGGAAAGTGGGACACCATGGTCACCAATTAATCTTGAGGAAATTGGACCTCCTGGAGAAAACGTGTGTAGATAGAGATATGTGCCAACTCTGCAGAGAAGGCACCCAAAGGCTGAATGAAGCCCGGGACTCAAACGTTGTGAAGCAACAGCACTTACTGCTACACCTCTGTATGCCCACTTGTCCTTCATAGCTCATGAATATGAATGTATGAACAGTCAACATCACCAATTATCCTGTCTTCCTGGATTCAAAAGAATATCCATACTGGCTGGACAGATTGGGAATCCAAGGTAGGATCTAGAAAGAAATGCAGAACTGTCAAATACACAGAAAATGTACAAAGCTCAGAAGCAACAAATGTTGATAGAATAACACTGCTCATGTGTCCTGACATCTCTGAATATAAAGTCTGCTCTTTGAATATATACAGTACTACCTAAACAAGAA